TCCCTGGCCAGGGCCTACCTGGGCCCCAGCACCCCGGCCAAAACTAGCTTGACGCGGCTGGCGCCCTCGAACAAACAAAGCCGCGGTCATCCGATGCTGACAAGCGACCAGACGGCACGGTGCCAAGCCGCTGCACCTGAGCATTGGAGGACCGATATTTTCCCGAGGGAGCCAGTCGTGTCATGTTAGATTGGTTGGCGGGCGTTGTGCGGGAGGTTCTTGCCGCATCGACGCGGCGGTGAGCCCGGTGCGTGCGGGCGTTCAATCGGCGGCGTGCCGAGGCGGGGGGTAAGACGAGCAGACCTTCTCAGAAGGCGGCGGGCTTCGGTTACACTGTAGAACTTGACATCTCTCGGACGTGTGCACTCTTCTCGACACTCTTCGGGCGCTTGCAGCCGGACCATCTCGGAGCCTCCTGGGGCCACCTCGAGGAGCAGACGCGCACGAAGCCAGGCAGTGCACGGGGAGTGGACGCCCGAGCGGTGGCAAGCAGAGTGCCCGAGCCTGCCGAGGATGCCCGCCCCCTTGGCCTCTCCCCCCCCCCCTTGGCGCGCCGCCGATTCCTAGCTGAACGCCGCCGGTCCCCGGGGCCCGGGACGGCCCTGGCCAAGGGTTCCGGGGAGGAAAAACCACCCGGAGCGGACAGCTGGCGTTTTTACGAAACGGCCCTAGACTCCAAATCCCTGATTCATCGTCCCCTGGGTCTGGTGTTTGGAGGCGCCCTTTTTGCAACTGGGGGGGTCTGGTTTATTGGGGCGTCTTCTTTGGATTGGAGCTTCGGGGGTCCGGTTTATCAATGCGCCCTGTCGAAGAGGGGGGTCCGGAACATTAGGTCGCATTTGGAGGGAGGTTCGGTTTTTCAGGGGGGGGTGATTAAGAAGGGATTTGGAGTAGTAGGCGTTTACTGAACAGCCCTGCCCTGTTTGATGCCTTCTCTGGGCGCGTTTACTGAGCGGCTTCGCGCGTCGGGGTGGTCATGCTGGGGGGTGGATCTTCTCGACTTCTGGGGGATGGCCGCTGGCGGAAGGCACATCTCCGTCCCGGGCCTCGCGGGCGGGCCCCTCGGGCCGCAGCTCCGCGGGTGCGGTCAGGTCGGGCGTGCCCCTCTGCAGGAGGAGGGTGCAGAAATGGTTAAGACATAGCCAAGGGATGACTTTTTGACTATCTTCGACCATTTTGGAGGCTTCGACTATGGTTAAAAATTGTCAAAACATGGCTTCGACTATCTTTGACCATTTTAGGGGCACTTTTTGACAGTTCTTCTTTTTCTTCCACAGTTCGCCTGTAGGAGGACACGCCCGACCTAGTGGTACGGGCCTCTTGTTCCCCTGACCTTCCAGAGTGCTGAGAAATAGCCCTCCAGACCCACACAGACCCATCTGCACCGCTCAAAGTCTCGACAGGAATGGAGACGCCAAGGTGCTGGTGCTGCTCCTTTTAGCCCTCGTGGAAGAGGAGGGTCGTGGACGCCCCGCGCGGGACGCACCCGCGCGACCTCGCGCATCCACGGGCCAGCCTCGCGCCCCGGAGCCCAGACCGCCAGGGCGTCGGCCCCCGTGGGCACGGGGCGTTTTCTCTGTCGCGGCTGCCCCGCGCGGAGCGTGCCCGTGCCACCTCTCGTGCCCACGGGCCGGCGTCGCGCCCTCCCACAGAGCCAGCGCACCGACGAGCTCAAGGCGGACGTTTTTCACAGGCGGCCTCTATATGGGGCCCTCGCCGGGCCCCAGGGCCGTCCAGAAGCAGCTCAGGATGCAAGACCGGTCCTCGGGAGTGGGTCGAGACTTCCAGGGAGCCCGCAGCGGCAAAAATCACGACATCGGGTCTCTGGGCTGGAGCCGCGGGTCATGGTTACGCTCGCCGCTCGTGCAGCTGCTGCTTCGGGTAGTACCCCCTGCCGCCGAAGGCGGACCACGCCGCGTCCGCCAGGGGCGCCCGGCCGATCAACGCCACGAGGCGGCCCGCTGCAGGGGCCATCTCGATCCGATCGGTCCGATTCGATATCGACGTTGGCCGTCTCGGTCCGATTCGATTTCGATTTCGATTTCGATGTTCCACCGATCCGATGCGGCCCGATGTCTGCATGGCGCTGTTGTGCATCCTGGCGCAACCGATCCGATTCCATTTCGACTCCGTGCCAATGCAGCCTGATTCGACCCACATTTTGATTCGATCCGACTTGCCGAATTTGATGCTTACTGATCCTGCATTGGGCTCCTGGCCTCGCAAATGGCTAGATGTTCGTTCGGGGGACCTTCCTGGGGCCCACCAAACAGATCTGTTCGACTCCAGTTCGACTCTGGTTCCACTCTAGCTCGACTCAAGTTCGACTCAATCTCGATTCAAGTTCGACCCAGTTTCGAAGCACGTTCGAATCAGGTCGACGGCCGTTCGACGCAGCATCGACGCATGAGTGGAGCGAGTGGCTCCAGGGAGGTCCCGCGAACAAGCATAAGAAAGTGGGGCCAGAGTGGATGTGGTCAGAGGATCGCGCAGCTTCGCAGATGCATCTTCAGATCTCCAACGACATGATCTTTCCAATCCATGCGGTTTTCCTCGACCTCGGCCTCTGGAGGCTTTTGTCGGCTCTTCAGCACCATCTAGAACGGACCCAGGACGAAGTCCTTCCCCTCAGGAAGGGGGTCGGGAGCCCCAAGGCTGCGCATTGGTAAGACCGCATGGTCGGACATCTGGGTCGAGGACTCGGCAAGACCCGGGGCCCGACGGTCCCCATACCGACATGGCAGGCGCACGGCCGCTGCATCGACGATGCGGTTCGATCCTCCGACCCCATGCTCTCCTGACCCATGCAGGGAGGCCTCCATGGGCGACGGGGAGGGGGGCTTTCGCTGGCATCCTCGGGGGCCTGCGTGTCGGGCGGGTAAGTAGCGGTCGCTCTTTTCGGGTGCGGCCAAGAGGGGGGTGATGACTATGGGGGGTGGATATCATGGCGCCTCTTCTTGTTTCAATACGTCCCTGGCCGCCCCCTGGGCCGCACACGTGCCGCCGGCCATGATTT